TTTGAAGTTGTTGAAGTGGGTTGCTTGTTGCACTCATCTTAAGTTCTCAGTTAACAAATTGAGAATTACGATATGAATTTAATAATTATCCCAGTTGCACAATCGTTTCTCTGTATTAGGATGCCCAGGAATATGATTTGGCATAATACGTATGCACAAATTTAAATACGAATTATGCATAAATCGCATAATTCGGGTTGTTTCACAAAATACCTATTTTTAAAAATTAGTCAGATTGTTGAATAACGAGAATAACGATATACGCTATAATGCAACTTCAATATGTATTGTTATCCGACAAACTCATATGATCATGAAAAATTTCTTTTTTTTTTCATATTTTACGATATAATATAATATTCAAATTAAAACTCAGCGAGCGACTCTTGATCATAAATTGCCGGATAACACCATTATTTGGGTAAATTGTCGAATAGGGTAATTTGCCAAATTACCGTTATTCAACAATTTTTGCCCAATAATTAGGGTTGCGCCGGTAATACAAATCTCTAAAAGGAAATGGCCAATCATAGAACACAAATTTCGGGTATTCCGGATCAGCCCGACATAGAATCCGAACACGTGCGAAAGCAGAAAAAAAGCAAAGAAAACGAAAATACTCAAAAACTAGTTTTTAAATTGACCTTTGTAGACTAATAAAATTTTACATATAGAAAACTCCAACTTATCGCTAAAGCTCACAACCCTAACGTCATAGGCAGACATTCGTATGATTGGCTGTTTAAATCAATTTAATTTTACATTATTTATACAGTTTAAAGTAAAAAAGAAAACTACGAAGAATAAACAAAAAAGAAGTATATAGAAAGTTTTAGTAGGGTTGTAGGACTCCACTATTAAAAATAATCAAAATTCTTTTTTGTTTTAGAGAAGTTAGCACGGTGATAACCTAATTTTAAGAAGTCGTTATTATGCTAACTTCTCTAAAACAAAAAAGAATTTTGATTATTTTTAATAGTGGAGTCCTACAACCCTACTAAAACTTTCTATATACTTCTTTTTTGTTTATTCTTCGTAGTTTTCTTTTTTACTTTAAACTGTATAAATAATGTAAAATTAAATTGATTTAAGCAGCCAATCTTACGAATGTCTGCCTATGAACCCTAACGTACTAATCCTAAACTTCTATTTTTACACACTTAGTTTATTTACAAAACAAATAAGTAAATTGCTCCATAAGTCGAGTCAGTACCAAACACAGACTTGAGTTTTTAATCACATGAAGTTGTACATAATCATGATTAACGATAAAATATAAACTTTATTATTTCTATATTTGGAAGCAGAATTAATTTCATACTCTTGATATTTATATAAAAAAAAACTTAGAACATCATCAAAAAGTTAGCTCTAACTAAAATTAACTCCGCTTTAGCCAACCTTAAACAAAAAGATACATTATTTTTTTTTTCTATTCTACTGTATTTTTTATTTTTTTTTTCTATTCTACTGTATTTTTTATTTTTTTTTCGATGTTAAGGTGATCTCTTTGTTAATAGTGATTTATATTAGAAGTATTGTTTTAGTTACAATGAGAGTACATCAAGTCATATGTGCACCTTTGGTGTCTAATTTAAGTAGTTCACCTGAAGCATTAGTGCTATGCTAGGGGTTCTACACTATCTGCCATATCTGTATCCACTATGTGGAGTACCCATTTAAACCCTCTGATCATATCCTTAATTCTACTATGTAGAACCCCTGATCTGAGTATAATATATACTATAGATCTATATGACACCACTAGATTAACAACCAGACTAAGGACTACTTTATCCTTGAGATAAATCTGCCAGAGTGGCTCTGTCCACTCAGGGTATATACCTAGACTTTAGTAATTTACACCATAGCCTAATCTATGCACTTGGGGTTAGGGCTAACTATTGAACCCCTACTATTATCTACTTCTATCTTTTTAAGATTTACAGATTTCTATACCATATTCTATCATTTTTCACATCTTACTTTTTGGTATTATATTATTCTTTCAAACCAGATGGCCCAGAGGGATTGGTCTGTCCAGATCTGAGTTTCTTAGGCTCAAGTCTGAAGGTTTTCTAAAGAAGAGCAAGAATAGCTGAAAATTGAGAAAGATTAGCCCAATATTCATATAGTTTATCTTTTATTTTTTTATCCATATGTCGATATGTATTTAGCATAATATAATAATTGAAATGCAAGAAAAAGTCTTGAATAATTATTCATATAGATTCTTGAGAGGGTTGTGAAGCATTTGATAATACCATGGTTGCTATATAAAAGGTTTGAGAAATTCTATCATCTCATTTATTATATTTCAATTATTAATTTTTAAATAATTAATTTTTTTTTTTTTATGTGGAGGTCCAAGATAATGACGGTCAGACCCAACACACAGGACAGACTTTGGATACTTGCACAGCTGTAAGTGCCAAACCTAAAATGGTAAGTGACTTTGTAAAAGACAAAAACCTCTCCTCAGACAACATTACATCACATTCTTCTGAGAAAACTTGCTATAACAAATTTCTTAAAAAACACAACCTCCCATTACTTAACTCTAATCAAACTCTTAAATCTTTTTTACACCATCTCCTAAAACAATCCTTCTACAAACCTTACAAAATATCTCTCAATATATATATACATGAAGCACATATTTATCTTGATATTAATGATCAACTCTTAATGAATTATAGAATTATACCACTATATCAATTTTCAGTATACTATAACTCTTTTATTAAATCAACCCCTTCCAATTCTATTTCTACCTTATCTTCTTTTAATACTTCTTATAATAATCCTCAAACACAATCAAATACTTCTTTATTTAACAATAATGCTATATAAACTTCTCAAACTATTAAAATTTATATACTCAACACTAATGGCCTCTCAACCAACTCTAAACAATTACTTATATATAACTATATTATAGAAAATAATATTGATATTTTTGGTCTATCAGAAACACATCTAACTGAAAAAGAAAGCAATCTTCTACCTTTAATACAAAGCCTTACTAATTTTTTCAAACTTTTGGAGCCTACCCATTATATTAAAAAAAGGAGGTGTTGGAATTTATATTCACACTAACTTATCTAAATATATTAGATGTATACAAGAATATCAAGGACATATTATTTGTATAGACCTCTTTCTTCCAAATAATCCAGTTCGTATTATCCAAGTCTATTTTCCAACACAAAAAAAAAAGCAACTTAAAACTGAAATAACAAACCAAATAATTAAACTTATACAAAAAACTACTCACAAAATAATTTTAATGGGTGATTTTAATGCAACATCCAATCCCAAACTAGATCGTTCTCCAGCAAAAAGAACACAGATACCTGAATCACAACTTATTAAATTTCTTACTCCCACATGCATGATACCTTCCATCTCTTTTACCCCAACTCTATAAAATTTACCTTTAGTCACAACAATAGTCACAGTAGAATTGACCAAATATGGACAAATATGCATATAGCTTCTCTGGACTATGCAGATATTATTGAAGATGCTACAATAGAATCAGATCACAATATTATTTTATTTGAATTTTCTATTCTATTAACACTCTCCTCTTCATACAAACAACCTCCTAGAAAAGTTCCTTTTTGGAAACAAGCATCACCTGAACAAATTCAAAAATACCAAACACATATAGATCAAAATTTAACCAAAATTCATTCACATATTCCACAAATTCAAAACCAAGTAGAACTAGATAAAACTTGGAAAACAATTAACAA